TCGACTTGCACACCAAGTGCTGCATAAGGTGGTTACTCGTTACCTTCAACGAGACAACCTGCTTGTTTCGAGTATCAAGCGCCTCACTGAACTTGCAAAGATTGCTAGAGAAGCTTTAATGAGTTGCGACATTGATGCCCTTGGGGACATAATGCTGGAGGCATGGAGATTACATCAGGAGCTGGATCCTTTCTGCAGCAATGAGTTTGTCGATAAGCTTTTCGCATTCTGTGATCACTATTGCTGTGGATACAAGCTTGTAGGTGCAGGTGGTGGGGGTTTCGCCTTGTTATTGGCAAAAAGTTCTGAGTCAGCTGAGGAACTGAGACATTCACTCGTGAATACTTCTGATTTTGACGTGAAAATCTATGGTTGGAAAATCTTCTTGGAGAACTAGCTGAAGTTAATGTATCAGTTAATTATTACTGGCACAGTACTCATTCTTTGATCTGTATATTTGAAAATGTACACACTTGTCATTGCACTAGCTCCACTCTCCTGTGGGTAGAATGTTACAGAGAGATCCAATTATGAGAGAGCTTCCGTATCTACGCAAATGTACCACGTAATTTCCTGCTATATTTCTAGTTTTAATGAACTCACTCAAAAGAGTGATGTTACGAGCAAGGAATCAAATTCTTAGAAGGAACGCAAAAGCTGTCTACTAGTATATATAATCTTTGAAAATTATTCGTGCCTTATTAAAGGGGCAAAGAATTGCATCTGCATATACAGTTTCACTTGACTTTTGACAATTCTAGGTCTCTCTTATCCAAAAAATTTAAAAGTTTAATGGAAAAGTGTCAAAAATGTCCTAAATATATTGGAAATAGTTCAAAATCATCCTGCTCGGTGATTTCAATTGCTGACCCTAGCAGTCAAAAGGAGATGAAGAGAGACAGAAAAAAGCTAATCCGTAATAATTTTCATCGGTAACGTTTGTCGAGTAGATGCTTCGGTGAGCCAATAACCTTCTACCACGTCATTTTGTCTTCATTATAAAATGCACTGCATTTCTTTGATTAATAAATCTTTTTTTTTTGTAGGTGGGGTTGTTAAAGATTGCAACTTTATTCCAAGTACATTTGCATTCTGGGGAGGAGTAAAAGGAAGAGGGAGAGAAGATGGGTTTGTTGACAAACAGAGTGGACAGAAGTGAGATCAAACCAGGAGACCATATCTATACTTACAGAGCTGTTTTTGCTTACTCTCACCATGGTAAATTTTCAATGCCTCCTTCCCAATCACTCATAAACAAGAAATTTATGATAATTTTGTATGTCTGGGGTGTGCTTTCCTTTTTCATTTCATCTCTTTTTGGCCAAAAATGATGATCTTTGATGCATATTAGAAAGCTGAAATGTGGGGTTCTTCTAAATTACTAGTACTAGTACTATTTACTTATTTGCATTGGGCTAATCGCTGCAGTGTAAAGTTTGAGTCTTTTAGTGTGCTGATTTTGTTAAGTTTTTTCATCAATTTTTTTCCTTTATTGTAGTCCTTGATTTACTTTCTTCTTTCATTTCTTTTTCTCTTAAGTCTTTGATTTGGTTCTGAACACAAGATTTGTCTTTTCACAATGAAATCAAACTTCTCCAATGTGTTTGAGAATATTTAATCTAGTACTCCCTCCGTTTTCAATTTGTTTGTTTGGTTTTGACTTGGTACGGAGTTTAAGAAAGTAAGACGAAACAAGGGAATGAAAGAAATTACTTTTGAATCTTGGGGTCTTAAACTAAAGATATGATAATGTCTCAAATGTCCTTTTATCTTGTGATCTTATACATGATGCCATGTAGGAAGTGGAACTAAAGAGTTGCCAAAAAAAAGAGAGGAAAGAGGCACTCTTTTTACGGACTAAAAAGTAAAGGAAGATGAACAAATTGACTCAGAGGGAGTACTAGTTTTTATTTACTTCCATTAGTTAATTAGAGTCCTCTCTTTTGTGACCCTCAAATTAGTAGAAATTTCATGCATTGAGGAACTTTTTTGTTTGTGTTTGATCAATAAATAGCTTATTCTGCAAATGGAGTGTATATTACAATAATGTACATTTGCTTTATCTTGGACATTAGCTATGCTTAAAAGCAGGAAAAGCTGAAGACTAATTAGAGTAACACATATAAACTTCTGAGAGGCTATTTTATCTGATAAATTGAAATACTCTAAACTTCTCTGTTTCAGTTGGACATAGTGGGATGACATTGATCAAATTAGAATAGGCATTGAGATGTCACTTACACCATCAGCCAGTTCTCGAACCACTGAATTTCATCCTATCAAAATCACTTGATGTTGCATCCAGAGTTTTCTTATATTAGATGGATGTGTTTGTGTATTTTATAATTCAAATCCATGAATGTAATGGCAACATTGTTTTTAGTGCTGAATTGATAGCTCCTCAAACTGCTTCAGGCATTCAACAAAGGTGGGGTGACAATTGTATGGCTACATTTGACAAAGGATAATGCACTTTAAAGACCATGAAGCTACTTTTAATTTTTTGGTAGTTGGCTTTAATGAGACGGGTCTAAATAGTGCCAATGGATGGACGAGGATTCATGACCCCAACTTGCTTGGGATTGAGACATAGTAGCTGTTGTTGCTCTTGAATACTGGGGTACCCACAATGCATTGTTTTAGCATTTTAGGTGTAAATGGACCAACTTGTGCTCCCTGTATTGGCTTCTCAAATGATTTGCCACTCTCCAGTTTGTGTTGTCATCTGATTCATCAGTGTTAGGCTTCATTTGTTTGCACTTAATGGGAGTTTGAATCTTAATCATTCAGATTCAACCCATTAAGTGCGTTTGGTTTTTAGGTCTGAATCTTATTATTGTGTACTCCTGCCTGGTTAAATTAAGGCGTATAAGTTGTTCATGTTGTGGAAAAAATTACCTCAGAATCTCCTACAGGGTAACTTAGTTAAAACTTGTATTAAATACAGATTACTAGACTATGGTTACTGCATGTGTTTTGTTACAGAATCACTACAGATATGTATATGATTGTGTATATATTAGCATAGCTGATTTATAGGGATTTGGCTATCTAGTTACCAACTTACCATAATTAACTTAGTCTCCTTATGTATTTATACCATTGTATTCTTTGAGTAATGAGATAAGTTATTCAAGTTATTCTTCCTACCTTATTAGTTACATGTTTTATCAGCTACAACAGCCCCCGCCCCATTTTATTAGAAAAAGAAGCTGCAGCCACTAAATTTAATCATATCTTGTTCCACTTGGATGCTATTCTTAGTTTTAGGAAGTGAATTTTTGATAAATCTTGGAAAAGAATCAGTAGTCTCCCTGAGATGGCATAGAATAATATTAGTCTGATCAACTTGATCATTTATGCCTTTAAACCAACCTTCCAAATGTTCACATATTTACAAATTTTCAGTGTATTTGCTGCGTGAAGTTGTTACTGTTTCCAGATTTGCGTGCAAGGTTTAGAGCTGGGCTAAAGATATGTCCTTAATTTTTTCTGTGGTCTCCATGTTGATACATTAGTTCTTAAATTTGAGTTGTACTAATATTGATTCAAGACCTGTATCAACTCTTATATGCTTCAAGACTTCTTGAGCCTTGATTCATGAATTAAAAGGTAACTCTTTGTTTCATGTGGACATAAATCTGGTCTCTGCAGGCTCCTTTACTCATGATTTTGCTTCATGATTCTCTGGTGTTGTTTTCTGCATGCTATCTATACCTTATAACAATAATAACTGGAAAAGTTAATTTTACCTAGGCACTCACAAAGAGACCCTGTAATATCATGTGCATGGAAGTACTTTGCGCTCATTGAACTATTTGAAAATTCTGTCATGTATGCTTTGATGTTGGTAGATCTGATAAATGGCCCTCTTCCAAAAGAGAAATAATTCCTGTGAATCAGCTGTGATTATTAAGGCATACAAGTCACTATTGACTATTGAGTCACTGCTGGTTCATATTTCATATTGATCCAACTTATTATACTGTTTGGAATAGTGATAAATAGTAGTTGCATTTCTCTTCCCAAAAACTAGTAGAGAGACAATCATCATATTCACAAGTTTTAGCTTCTGAGCAATTTGGTGTGATAGGTATTTTCGTTGGCGGAAGCAAAGTGGTTCATTTTACACGGGTTGAGGGCTCTTCTGATGCTGCTAATGAAATATCAGGCCTTTCTTCATCCTGTCCAATCTTTCCAGACTGTGGATTTAGGCTTCCTAACAGCGGTGTTGTACTTTCTTGTCTGAATTGCTTTCTCCGCACTGGTTCACTCTACAGCTTTGAATATGGAGTAAGCCCTTCCGTTTTCCTTTCCAAAGTGCGAGGGGGAACTTGTACTACTGCTGTGTCAGACCCTCCGGAGATGGTTATCCACCGAGCAATGCATCTTCTCCAGAATGGATTTGGCAACTATGATGTGTTCCAAAACAACTGTGAGGACTTTGCGTTGTATTGCAAAACAGGTCTTCTGACACTTGATAGATTGGGAGTTGGAAGAAGTGGACAAGCTTCTTCTGTTGTCGGTGCTCCTTTAGCTGCGCTTCTTTCCTCCCCCTTGAAGTTTCTAATTCCTAGTCCCGTCGGTGTGGCCACTGTTACTGCAGGAATGTACTGTATGAGTAGATATGCTACTGACATTGGTGTTCGAAGTGATGTCATAAAAGTCGCAGTTGAAGACTTAGCTGTAAACCTTGGCTGGGGAAGCAGCAATGAAGGAGCTATTGTGGAACATGATGATTCTATTCACTTACTTGACAGGTGACATCATTCTCAGTGTATTTTGTAGGAAATGCTATTGATGTTGGATTGATTTGTGATGAGATTTCTGGTCCAGGAACTGCCATTTGGCTGTCCATATGTGCCACCATATCCGATGTACATTGAAAATAAGTTGTTGGTATTAGCTTGTTATCCTGCGTACAAAGATATGTCTTTACATTTTCTGAACAAGTCATTCTAATTATGTAGAATATGGACTTGCTGCGGATTATCAGCTGAATAACGCTCTCCTTCCCTACCGCACCTCCCTCCTTTATCGACCCCTTTTCCTTTACTGGTTGGGTAAAACACTTCCTTGAATTTGGTAGGCAAGAACTGCCAGGTTCATGGAAATTCCAGGAAGAAACCCAGAGAAGAGAAGTATTCCATGGACTCCCTGGCCTTCCCCGTAGTAGAAAGGTTGACCCTTCTCATATCAACAACTAATATTTCACCTCTGATATATGAGAAAGAATGTCCATTTCTTTTTACCAACAGATTTTCCTTACCAAAAAAACTTTTATATAACATTATATCTCGTCACACAAGATTACCTACTTGTGATTCTTCATTATTATTTAATTTTGACTTGAGTGAGGTCACTATGTTTAGGTTGAATTGCACTATAAGGAGTTCACATAATTCTATCTGTTTCAACCTAGAGTTGACAGAGCAAAAATAAAACCAGTAAATTCATGCCTCGTTAACTGTATGCCTTCTGGCGACGAGTCAGAGATGCGGTTAAAACTTAGAAGTAGCTTAGATATAACTAGAGCTGGGTTTGGTGCATGCTGCTTCATGCAGTTTAATTACCTTAGATCTACATATTATCTGGATAATATTTCTTCTCAATCGCATGAAGAATGAGAAGCTGAACTTGTGCCACCTTTATTTTTGTTCTCATAAAGAAAATTAGGTTATCTAAACTCAAATAGTAATGTCATGACAGATTCATATGGAGGAACAAATTCAAATAGCTTAGTTGTTATCATTGTATCATTTATATTTCTACTAACTAGTTAAGCTTGCGGAAATGCGTTTGTGTCGACAAAAAAGTTCAGAATATGTAAAAACATGGTTCTTTATCCTCTGCACTTATTTCAAGAGTAGAAAAATGGAGTAAGGTAGATAGAGGGATGCAGTAAAAGAGGAGGAGAAAGAAACTTCATCCTATATTTCCTCAAATGTTCCTACTATAGTAATGAAAGTCATCTGTTTTCTGTACAATATGCAGTTTACAGTTACAGATGTCTCATAAAACCGGAGAGCCTGTCAAAACCCCACCATGTTTGGTTCATCCTATAATGGTGATTAACTCAGACTTGTTGAAGAGTCTTCACTGTTACTTCATGCTCATTACCATCATTTCCATTTATCTTTGTTTGAGTTTGTTTGGACTTCTTGCTGCTTTCGTCTCTAAATTCTGCTTGGGTTGCCAGTTCTTTGACCTCCTCTACAATCCCTTCTATTCTTGATGCTATTTCTACGAGCAGTGATGTTAGGGTGGCCATTTGAACAATTTCCATGAGCGATAAAGCAGTAGGTTTCAAGCTAGTCTCTTCTGTACAATTAGGTGCCTCTTCAGTTGCGGGATCTGGGGTTGGTATATGCTGGTAACTTGGGAAGATTTTGAGGGCATTTTGAAGGCCTTCTACCGAAGAATTCATTTCATCAACAAGTATATCTAGCTTTGTTGATTTTTTCATTGTTTTTATCATACTCGACATCTCTTTTAGCACTTTGGAGGAACTAGTACCTAATCTCATGCAGACATCATTGAGAGGCTTCTTAAGGAACTCAGGAGTCTGTGGCACAAGCAAAATAAGAAAGATCTAAGCTCAAATACTATCTTAGCAGAAAAGATATCAGCAAGACTCATTCAGATAGCTAGAAATCTTTTAATCCTGAGTGTTTTTACCTCAGTATTGGAGTTAATGCCACCATGGAGAGTCTCAATGCAATAGGCACAGCTTCTCATTGAAGCTCCAATCTTGAGGTACTGTTTCCATGGATGTCGGAAATTGAATTTTCCATGTGCTGGCTCCCATCTGGCAAAATTGGCCTGTCATATATATATAAGGCGTTTAGTTTATCTTCTACTAGCTAAACAGGAGAGAGATTTGACATATATTACAGGCTAGATCAATCATTATCAGAGAGTTGATTACGAACCATGGATTCTTCAGCAGCCTTAGAATTAAGAACACATTTGTAGCCTTGCAATCTCTTACTGGAATCTTTCTCATGTACATTTTTACTGCCATCTACACTGAAGTTCTCAGCACCATATCCTGAATATTGAAGTCCAAAAACTATTAGTTTCTTCTATCATTGATAGCATATACTTGTGATATCATTATTCAGTTAACAAATGTATATTACCTTCCAAGGAATCAGCAAGTTTTTCCAGGTTGTTACTAATGAGATGATGCAGCTCAGTACCTGCCCATACTGGACAGAGAATCATGGTAATGAAAATACAGATGGAGGCCCCAATAGCAATAGTGGAGACCCTTTCATGAGCCAATTCAACCAACTTATCAACGCGATAGCCTGACACTGACACTAAGCTGAAGGTAAGGATAAAGATCATGGCACCATAGTCAAATCGCGCTTTTATTGTAGGAATAAACCGAGAAAAGGTTGCTGCAGCAGCTGCAAGGAAGACATGTATAAACATGTTAACGTCCATCCAGTCATTTATCAAACAGCAATCCATAACTAGTAAGTACAAAGTTTTCATAAACATATACGTATATAGGAAACTGTTACATACCCAAGAGAAAAACTGAAACTTGGAGAATAACAGGTTCAAATTTATCTCCAGCTTGACTTGCAACCCAATGAACACCAATTCCTAGAGATCCAGCTAGACATGTTCCAATAGCTCTATTTACACACTTATAAAGTGTAGAACCTGCCATTTTGACTCCAAATCAATACTCATATACATGCACAGTGAATCTATCAAAAAGAAAGGACATAACAGAGAAGAATCACACTCACCTACAGTATACTCAAAAACTACAACAACAGTCATAACAGCCCACATAGCATTCCCTCCAACACCATCATAAAGAGGCTTCATGTAATAAAACACTGACACAAGGGAAAGAGCCAATCCTACTTTAAGGCAATGAACAACCTTTTTTGGCTCATTTACAGCTAAATTCCATGCTTTGTCAAGAAATCCCCTGATGTTTAAAAAAATCCCCATAACTAAACTTTGCAATCTATTGCATGTCTCCCTAGACTCAGGCGCTAAAATTCGCGATGAGCCATTAGGCATGTTAACCCTCCATTCCAATCTTCCAGGCACTTCATTTTCCTTAACCATATTGTCCAAATTCTCTTTTTTTTTTCTGCTAAAGTTTGAGACTGATTTGGTTAAGGTTGTTTGAGAAGGACAGCTGAGGTTTAAGACTAAACTTCAAATTACCATGTGTTTGTTGGACAAGTATGTCATAATAATGTACACATCACACATATATATATATATACACTCATGCTCCAACATTTAATTTGTACGTTTGTAGGGATTGTACGGGAAAATTCATATTTTAGTTAGGTAAGCTCAGGCATTTTTTGTTTTTAAACAAATAGTGGACATTGATTTGATATTCGTATTTATTCATAGTGCTTGTTATAAGAACACTAACAGGCTGCCTAAAAACTAACATATCGAAACTTTTTTTTTAGTGGAACCGAATGTAGAACGTCACTAATTTGATTTTTGTTTTGTTTATTTATCTACTAAGATTATCTTCATATCTTAATTATGTTATCCTTTTGTATATAATCAATCCTGATATTTAATTTTCTACATATATCAGAATTTTAAGAATAAGTGGGAAAATTTATGAGTTCAACCTCAGCTTGCATTCAATCAAATTCAGACTCCTTTTTTTCCCTTTAATTTCTTTCTAATTCTATCTTAAGTTGCTCTAGTGCAATTATCGGTCCACCACAAACAAAATGGAAACAAAAAAATATGGATTCCATTTATTTTCCCTGTTGTCCTTCTTATCCTTATGTACTATATACATGTCTTTTCCTTGAAAAAAATAATCCCAAATGATTAAAATATCAAAATAATAATGCAAGACTACAACAACAACAACATACTCAGTGTAAGGTTTAGGGAGGTGGTGTATACACAATCTTTTCTCTAGAAAGATTGTTTTCAATAGACCCTGATAATTATTTTCCTCAACATTTTAGTCTAAACTTTAAATAAATCGTGATAAATTATATCCAATCTGATAATTATTGAACTCTATGTTAGTTTTACAAATTAACAAGGCAAAGTAAAAGGAATTTTCTGTTCCGATCCGCACTAAATATTATCTTTGTGTTTATGCTCTATTCTACCTATGTCTGATTAGTGCTGTATGTCTAGACAAATTGCAGAGATTGGAATGACATAATTAGGAAATCCTCATAACTTGCCGTTAACCAAAAAAGTAAATCTTCACAACTTGCGCATAACTCTAAAAAAAAAAGTTTAAGTCTAAGTTCATCAATTCCTCGATAATGTAAATGATATTTTTACACAATCAGATCACTTGTAAGGTAATTATATATACAACTATATATGATAAACGTTAGTGATAATTAAGATGACAAAAATAATAACTAACCTGCTATAACATATTAAACAATATTGATAAAATTAAAAACTTGCTAGCGCGCTATATTACTCAAATTTAAAAAGTAAAGAGTCTAGAAATAGAACTTAAAATGGCAAAAAAAGGAATGGAAAATGGTCCGCCAATGACTTTGTAGTAAAGTGAAATCATATTCCGTAGTTAATACTACCTAAATTAGGCCCTTGTGTTGGAAAGAACATGACCTAATTTTGCACTACTACTATTAGCTAGTGCCTTTTAACTGAAATAAAAAGGCCCTTAAAGTAACCTTCATATTTAAATTTGATTTCGTGCTCACCACAGTTATTATTTAAAAACATATATAAACGGTTATAATATGCCTATGACCCACAAACATCACCATCACATTTATAAAATGATCTTATTAGTTACTCCTATGTCTAAAAAATTAAGTTAATTAGTTATGTATTCAAATTAGGTCATGAACAATTTCACGAATATCCCTCCTTATTAGTCTGTTTAACTATTTTTTTAACCTGATAAGCGTGCCATCATCAGTTGGATTAGTTTATAAGGATCGTAATCACACGTTACACGAACAACAACATATAATTTGAAAAGCTAGCTCAACTATCAAATATTAGTAGGTTAAGTTTGACCTACATTTTACATTTTTTTTAATGACTATGACTATTACGTCGCTTAAAAGATAAAATTATATTACACACAGTAAGAGGAATTGGTTAACTAGTATTCTAAAAAATAAAGTAAGACAAGTAACCTTTCACGGAAAAAGTGAAATTGCACTGATAGTGTAAAAATTATATCATCTTTTTTATTTTTATCGAGTAATTAGACATCTCCGTTCTATGTATATACATGAAAGAATTAATATTCGAAGGAAGATATTTAAGAAAAGAATCATGAGATTATTATACAAGATTGGAATAATAATTTAATTGAATGACTCAAATCTATTTGTTATAATATTATGTAAGTTCTTTATTATTCAGTGGATCAATATCGTAATGCTTATTGGAACCACGAAAAAGTGATATTTAGAGGACGAAAAGGTTATAAAATATTTGGCGGTTCAAAAAAAAAGTTTACTTAATTCTGTAAAAGTTGATACGTACAAGCAAGTGCATATAGTATGTGGCCATGCACATCACCATGCAAGCAAATATTCTATAGTGCTGTACAGCTTAGGGATTGATGTGGATCATTGAAAAAGTTCTTTTATTGCAACTTGACGGGTGTGATGTTGTATGAATATTTAAATTGATTTAAGTTATACATGCTGATATCGCTAACGTTTTGAATAAATATTACTACTATGGTAATTTAGTGCATAGAACTTAATCACTAAGTTTAACTAATTATCGCTAATGTAAATAATTTCTTACACAAGTATTACTATTCACGATTTTTACATGTTGTAACATGTATTTTTATTTATATGTCTTCCATTTTTATGGAGGGTTATCCGTAGATATTTTTTGAGTGACATTTTTTACATATTGCATATAAGTAAAACGCTTAAAGCTACTATCATGTTGGTTTAGATATATATGAAAGACATAATTTGGTTCATATGCTAATTGCTATCGTTGATCATTGTAGGTTTGTAAAGAGGGTTAGAAAGAGGCAATTCATGTCATGCAGGCCCAGTGTAAAGTGTCCATGGCCGCATCAGCATGTATGGAATTTAGCCCATAAAATGTAAGGAATTTTTGTACTTCTAGTTCTTCACCAATTTCATCACTCCCCTCATATTCGAATAATATTCTTAATTTAGAGTTTCATATTTTCATCTGAAGTTTTATGGTCCGATTTGATGCGTGTACATTATGGAATGGGAGTATTTTTACTCCCGCAATTGTGTGGGACCTTGGTGGTCCACATTGGATTGAACTTGATTCTAATGTCAATATCAAATTAGAATCATACCCCAAACGCTAGCTTAAGGAAGATTTCTCAAGGCATCAACGTGGGATTCATTCAGTTCATTATTTGTTATTGACAAGTTGGACATTTGTAAAAGTATGATCTAAGTACTCTATTTAAAATGTATAAATAATCTTTATCTTAGTATGTATGCTGCATGACTAACCAATTTTCAATTTAATAATTTTGTTGCACATTCGTGAAAATATGATCGAGAAACTCTATTTGAAGTGTACGAATAATCTTTATTTTAGCATGTAAGCTGCATGACTTATCAATTTTCAATATGATGATTGTGGTGGTATAGTGTCAGTTATAAACTCAAATAATTATAAGAGATGATTTTCCGGGAATAAATAGTCAAACCTTTTTGAGAAAGATGTCGTTTGAATTATAACCGTTTAGTCATTTACTTCATTTTTTCTATTTAATTGTTTGTTATTGAAAATCACACGCCTTAGACTGATACACTTTTTTTATATACTTGTACCTACATGTCAATTCTAGTGTGAAATCACATCACGACAAACAATAAAAAAGGAACTTCATATGAATAGTGTGAATACCAAATAAAAAAGAATGCATCATTATGAATTGCGTGCGATTTTCCCGTGACAAACAACCAAACAAAAATTGTAAAGTAAATAACTATACAATCGTTTGAGCGTGTCTCAAAAAAATTGTTTGTCCTTAGAATTTATTTGATTTCTCCATTAGATCTTTCTCAAAAAGATTGTCTCTTATAACATTTTTGCCCCAAAAGTGACTATTATAACTCTGAGCTCCAACTTATAATTCTATATTAGTAAGATTATTTTTCTTAATTTAATAAGAACTAAAATTTTACCAAATGAATTTCACAAAAGAATTATTATTTGGTTACTTTGGTTACAAAATAATTTAAAAACTATTATATTAGTTTCAATAAATAAATAATTATCTTTCCAGCCAACGACCAAAAAAACCCCTTATTTAATGGGTTTAGTTACAAAATAATATATTAAGACATTTCGATCGATACAACACCAATGCACATTTCCTTTTCTATGATAAGAAAACATAAAAGAAATGTGTCCAATGAAATGCAAATTAATCAAGTTTGAGACTTTATTACTCTTCTCATTCTTTTTTGGGATAATTGTACAGAATGACAAACTTATAATCTAAAATAAATGGAGTAGTTAATGTTTGATTTAATTGCGCCCCGTAACAAACGTTTGTCAGTCACCTCTCTCCCTCCAAATTCTCGCTCGCCACTCTCCCTTTCTCGCTCGCTCCTTCTGTGCTTGCCTCTCTCGCTTTATACAACAGAATTGTATAAATTGCGTTTCTGTTTGTATAAAGCGAGAGAAAATTGTATATACACATGCAAATACATATATATTCGTCTTATACACTTATAATTATACAATACAAATATTTCCCTGCCCAATTTTCT